TGCAGATGCTCTCACACCAACCTGCTGCCATTCCTGAGCAAGCTCTGCACTGCTGGTGACACGATTCCAGCTGACTCCTCAGGAGGAGATGGTCCTGGCGCTTGCTGGACACTCTGGGACGTCCTGAAGACTTCTTCACTGCAGTCGAACCCCTCTCTTTGAAGTTCTTGATGATCTGGCAAATGGTTCATTCAGGTACAATATTCTTTGTAGTAATTTCCTTGCATGTGAGGCCATTTTGATGCAAAGCGATGATGGCTGCACGTGTTTCTTTGGAGGTAACCATTGCTAACAAGAACACAATGATTGGAAGCGCTTCTTCCCTCCTTTTATAGCAATCAGTCTGCTCTTACAATCTAATTAGTATGATAGTGATTAACCTGACTAGTACTCATTCACACTTTCACGTGTGCTGCTGATGTGATTAGTCAATTAATGTCAATTAGTCAATTAATGTTATGTCATTTTGACCCTAGGTCATTTTGTTCAGGATCAAAAAACAGTGAATTTAGTTTTTTTGTAAAAAGTTCGGGTTTTTTTGGCCAATGAAGCTTTTAGCAATTATTTAAAATGCATCTGATCACTCTACACAGTAATCTAGAAACAATGTGAATGAACACCACAACAGCTTAAACTGCAAACTTTGCAAAACACAAAATGTATGTCACTGAATACCATTCTTTATGTCACAAAAAACTTTTGGCCATGACTGTAGTTTCTCTTTGTCTTTGAGCAAATTACTTATCCTGAGCTCTGATTGTTTTGACTGCATATATAAGGAAGTAAAAAACTATGTCATGTGGGAATGTTTTCACATGGGCCTAAATTCCGCTGGCCAAAATGAGGGTTTTATGAATTGTTTTGTCTGTAATTTACTTTATTTTTCTCAAAGAAGTGTTAATAATCCCACATTGAAATTCTAGCCCTTATAGTGTGATAATATGCACCAATATAGGCTCAATTAGTCATGTTTTCCCCCTGTGAATTTTGTAGTCAGAACTAGACATCTAGAAAACTAGAAGATAGCTATTCAGAAATTGGCTTTCAAAAATAAAGCAACCAGAAGAAATATTCACTTCAGTGAAAAGTGTGACAACTAGCCCCGGTCTCTATATATGGGTTCAATGAAAAAGGAGCATACTGTAGAACTCCATTTCCTCAGAGGTAAGGATAAGGAACATGTCTTTAAAGGCAGTTTAAATTAAGGACCAACTTTCTTTGAAGTCAGCAGATTAGATTTTTGACAAGGGAGAGACACATCTCCTGAGAGTAAAACACATGCTCTGTGAATGTAATCACAAGAGGTGTGTGAACAATATTTTTGTGTTATTTCTAGGATACCTGGAGTAAAGACGTAATGAGAGTTTCATTGCGGCTGTTTGACAATAGAAGCTTTGCCTTCATGGATGTCTGTGGTTCTTGACTGACTGCATTCTTTAAGAATGAAAACAGTGCTGGCGTTCAATGAAGTGACTGGTTTGAAGAGACATTCCTTTATCTCGTCACTAACACATGAACACGCTCATCCAACCTCATTCCAGTTTCAGGGCCATTGGGCGAGTTCTCACTCTACGTGCTATTTATCCCCTAACAACTGCGACACAACACCATTTTAGTTGTACGTGCTGATCTCTTCGAATCGTAAAGGAATAACTCAATGGATTATTAATTATGAGGGGCTGAGGAGAGCGAAGTACCTCTTTTTTGACGAACTGCTGGAAGACTTGAGTCAGAATGATGGAACAGGTGAGAAACCTTGACATGAATATTATTCTGTTGACAACTTCTGAGTAAGAGCTAGGCTTAATTTTTACCATATGGGTTCCTCAAACACAAATTAATGCATAAATTAAAATTTAATATTGGACAATTGTGAAGAAAGTTGAGTTTGGGACGTACATTTACAATTCCAAGTTTTTGTACATACCTCATTTTGGTAGTGCCATGCTATTCTTTGAAATACCACGTAAATGCAATAAATATGGTACTTGTTCAGTACCATGGTATTGCAATCTCTTTTGTAAGAGTTTCCGATACCAAAAATCAGTTTATTGATTTACTGAAACTAGCTTATTGCCAATTCAAATGTCACACTATTACTTTAAAGAGCCACACTTTTCTTAACACGGCTCTTTCACCTCAGCTTGTTAATTTCTATTGAATATTACTATGCATTTTGACATCAACTGGTGTGGTTTTGACTATTAAAATGTACGGAATTTGATTGAACAATAATAACGTGTCATCACACGTCCTTCCGATTCTTGTAAACACATGAATGTTGTTGCGTTGTTTATTTGTTAAGTTCTGAGATTTCGCTGAAAATACTAACCTGTCATATGCATTTCATAGTGCAATGTTTAATGTTTACTACATTTTATACATCAGGATGAATCAAGAGACTTTAAAACCCTGAAGGCACGGTTCCAGGGTGAAAATGGTCTGAAGATCCAAACTAAACCTGCCCTCCCAGAGAAACCCAAAACCATCCCTCCATCGACAAAAGTCAGCAATACTTTGATCTCATCCATCAATGCTGCTGTGCAAAAAGGGTCGCTTCATGCACCACGTGTAGTCTTCAAGGAGGACAAAAATCTCAGTCGCCAGCTCTCTCCACCTTGGGGATTAAAGACCAGAGAGAACCAACCCATAAATAATGATGAACTGCTGGATAATAAGCAGGTCAACACTGTTAAGCAGAATCTGAAAGACAGGAATCTTCCGCTGGTTCTGCCTGTGGCTCCAAAAACTAAAACTCCAGAGCCCGATTCCAGTCCACCTACACCTATGTCCGCTTCACCAGTCAAAGTGACGACACCCAAAAAGTTTGTATTTACCCCTCAAAAAACGAACAAAGATGAATGTGAGAAAACAGACCCTGTGAAGGAGGTGAACACTACCAAAAAGTCTCTGAAGGACAGGAATCTTCCGCTGGTTCTGCCTGTGGCTCCAAAAACTAAAACTCCAGAGCCCGATTCCAGTCCACCTACACCTATGTCCGTTCCACCAGTCAAAATGTCCACACACAAGAGTTTTGTATTTACTCCTCAAAAAACTAGCCAAGATGAGAATGAGAAGGCAGACACAGTAAAAGAGTTTGCCACTGCCAAAAAGTCTCTGAACGACCGCAATCTTCCACTGGTTCTGCCAGTGCCTCCAATAAAAGTTGATACCCCAGAGCCTGAACCCAGCCCCTATACACCTCGGAATTACACACCCAATAATTTTGTGTTTACCATTCAAAAAAATAGCAAAGATGAGAATAAGGAGGCAAATACAGTGGAAAGACCAACACCAGCTAGTCGTACCCCTGCTCCAAGTCACCCAGCTCCTGCTGGCCCAACTGTAACAGCTACTCCCCCTACTCAAAGGGTACCTGTTGTTCCTAAGGCTGTTGTACCTTCTCAGACTTCAATTGGAATAACTTCTTTCCCCAACATTCCTGCCCCAAGTATTCCAGCTCTAGGCAGTTCAACCTCTGCCAGCCCTGAGCCAAAGATTCCTGAATCAGCCATCCCAACACCATCTCAAGCTATTCCTAAATCAAAACCAGAAACCTCTATTTCATCTCCTCCTGACACTGAATCTTCCAAACCAAATATACATGTGCTCAGTTTATCAGAAGTATTTCCTCCCCCTAAAGGAAGTCCACCTACAGAATTCACTGATATTCCGCCCCCTGTTTTTGATGAAGACTTTCCAGATGGAGGCTTTTCTGAGCAAACCATACCCACTCCAGCAATACGTACATCTATTGCCCCAGTTCCCAGGAGTCAAGTTGTCTCCAGGTCCCCTGCCCCATCCACCCCTCCAGCGGTATCTCCAGAGCCCTTGGTGAATCCCTTCGAATATACACCTGCTCCAGTCTCAAGCCCTCCTCCAGAAGTTTATACTCCTGCTGCACCTCTAGACGTGTTACTGGAGAATGCAAAAGCTCTGACTGACAAGGCAGCTATTAACCAAGAGAGGTCTAATGAGGACCAGTCCTCAACCAAGCCGCTTTCAGCCCTCTCAGCCTTGGCGAGAGCAGAGGAGATGGCCTCTGTAAAACGGTCACCAAATGATAGCCGTGTATTTAACCTTCTGGAAAAGGCCAAGAGAAAGTTTACAGTGAACCCACTGGCTACCACACCTGAAAATACATCTATACCTGAAAATACAACCCTAGTTGAGACAGCTACACCCAAGATACCTCTGCCTGAAACTCCCACACCTCTGCCTAAGACTGCCACAGCTGAGGTGACCCAACCTGATCTAGCTCCACTTGAAAAAACCTTACCACAGCTTGCCACAACTTTAGAAACCCTGCCTGAGGAAGCCCAACCTGTACCCGAAGTGTTTGATATCCCTAAACTCCCTCCAGTTGACTATGTGAATCATACTCGGTTGCCACCTAAAACTTACCCACCTGAAACTGTTGAAGTTAATGGCTTTGATCACAGTAAGTATGGGGTTCACACTGTACAATCTTAGCCACGGTTTTGTTGTCTGAGATAATTTTCACCCATTGTAGAAGGCTTCCTTTGTTGTAGGCCAGTCATGTATGAATAAGTTTGACATTTGCACAGATGGATGCTTAAATGACTTTGGAAAAAAAAGTCTCAGATGAAGTTCTGGCAGTTTCAGAAATTTTGTAGACTGTTGCTGTTCCTGAGAGTCCAAAAGTTAGTCAACACAAATATATATATATATATTTTAATTCTTCACCATTGTAAATATCTTTTAGCGTTGGAAAGCAGTGTTTAAATACCTTTGTGACTGAGGAGTTAGGTGGATTCCTTCCTTCAGGGAGGGTTGTTATGCAAGATATGTATGTCTATTGTAGCTATGTTGGGCAACATGTCTTTCATAATCAGAATGACAAAGAATAATCTGTCTGAAGGAAATATCTAAAACTGGGACATTTCAGTTTTCAGTTGAACTAAATGCTAATTAGGCTTATATACAATATATTCTCGTAAGCAGTTGTTGTAATTAGACCATATTGCTCATAGTTTAGAAACATCTTTACCGAGAAAATAATTGTTTTCATTACAGCCTGAAATTAAAATGACCTCTACTGTCAATTATGTGGTATTAAACATGATTACATCACTTAAAATTGTGAAAAGAGACAATTCACTCTGCTTTGTATTCACTTTAGTCTTGTGTGTTTCATTAGGCTTGAGTATAAACATCATGCTTCCTCCATTTTCATTCCATAGTCCTGTTCTACCTGCTGTGTTTCCTTGACCTTGACCTTGACATTTCCATTGGCTTTGCAGACATAACTTTCTCAGTTTAGTCTTTTTCCTTGTTAGTTTCAGAATGCAATAAATGCAGGTAAAATGTACACTTCTTTAAAATAAAAATATTACAATAATAAAAAACATCGACAAGATAAATTTATGAAATTGCATTAGAAAGCAAGATTTGTTTTCATAAAATATGTTGAATTAAGTTTATTTTTATGTTTATGTATGGCTTGGTGGTGGTGGTCCATTGGTTGTCCATTATAATATTCATTGTCTTGTTTCTGCAGGGGTGGTGACAGTGGTCAAACCAGTGAATCCTCCTCCCCCACCGCCTAGGAAGGCTCTGCCAGCCTTACCCATTGTGGATCCCCCACTTGAGAAACCAACTCAGTCTCCTGCCAGAGACCTCCAGATTCCCACAACACCATCTGAACCTCTAGAAACACATGGTAACAAAATTACCCCAAAAATCTGAAACTCTGTGCTAAGTGTTTGTCTACCTAAGTAATAAATGACCTTTTTTTTCATCAGAAGAATCACTATATGACAACTCATTTGAGTTTTATGAAGATGTTGAGGAACCTAAGGCTCCAGCATTTTCAACCTTTAGGCCTCCATCAGTACCATCATCAGCTTCTAGTACCAAAAGGCCAATTTCAGCTTATGAGGAAGCCTTCCTGAGACAGTTGAGCCCAAAACAGCAGTTGAAAGAGGACATGTTTCCGAACATGGATGATAGAGATGTGGATTATGGGTCTATGAACTCTGGCTCTCCATTTCCAGAAACTCAAGCTGCTGTAAATCAGGACTCAGTGCGAAGCTCTCCTGCCTTGACTCCATCAGGGTACGCCGTTAAATTCATGATAATTTACTGTGACTATATATATTTAAAAAAATAAAAATAAAAGTATATGTTATCGGTATTGAACACTGAATGACATTTTTGTTTCTGACTTTCCTCTAGGACTCTTGAAAGAGGTGACAATGTCTTTGATGATCAAGTAGACAGTAAAAAAAGCAAAACGACAAAGACTAAGAAACAGAAAGGACCTCCAAAGAGTAAGTGCGAGAAGTATTCACTAAAGTACTTTTTTTCTAGTTTTCATTAGGTTCTTTAAAAAACAGTGTGTGTGTGTGTGTGTGTGTGTGTGTGTATATACACTACTGTTCAAACGTTTGGGATCAGAAAGATTTGTAATATTTTTTTAAAGGAGTTTCTTATGCTCATCAAGGTTGCATTTATTTGATAAAAATACAGGAACAAATGTAATATTGTGAAATAGTATTACGATGTAAAATAAAGTTTTTCTGTTTTAATATACATCAAAAATCTAATTTATTCATGTGATCCAAAGCTGAATCATCATCAGCATCATTACCAGTCTTCAGTGTCACATGATCCTTCAGAAATCATTCTCATTCATGCTAGTGAATTTCACAAACAATTACAAAGAAACAGCAAGTAATATTAATTTAACATTACATTTTCATATGAATTTTTTTGTAAAGCATACTCCAATGATCTTTGTTTTATTTACCACTTTTAATTAATTAATTAATTCATTTTATTTTATTTTAACTATGAGTGTGAGTTAAGGAAAACTAAAATGACTAACCAGTGTTCCAACATTACAGACAAAAAACTTTCACAACTACAAACACTGGTAATAATCAGTTTCAATCATTTGAAATGCTGGATAATGCTGGTTGGTGAAATGAGCCGTGTATTTCTGGGCTGTCAGAAAAACACTTTACTAATACATTATTCCTGAGACACTCCTTAGCTCCACCCATAATGCCATGGAAACAAAGAACCACACCAACAGCTGAAGATGAAGCTATATAAAACCACAAAGAAATGCAAGAAACTGAGCCAAATGAATATCTATTAAGACGTTTACATTGAAGACTCTTCTGCTCACCAAGGCTGCATTTACTGGATCATAATTCCACTAAAAACAGTAATATTGTGAGAAATTATTACAATTTAAAAGAACCGTTTGTCCTTTGATGCAAAGCTGAATTTTCAGCATCATTACCAGTCTTCAGTGTCACATGATCCTTCAGAAATCATTCTAATATGCTGATTTATTATCAGTGCTGGAAACTGTTGTGTTGCTTTTGGAACCTGTGACACTTTTTTTCAGGATTCTTTGATGAATAAAAAGTTTTAAAAAAAGAGCATTTATTTAAAATAGAAATATTTTCTAACAATATACACTACTGCTTAAAAGTTTGGGGTCAGTACATTTTTATTCTTTATTTTTTTGAAAGAAATTAAAACTTTTATTCAGCAAGGAAGAATGTGTTAAATTGATAACTTCCTTGGAGCTAAATTTTGGAAGATATGAAGCCTTTTTTTTTTTTAAATATGACATATATAACTATTATTTTTGACATAAATGAATACAATTTAAAATATGATTCATGCTTAAAAAAAGAAAAATAATTTGCCATTTGGTGTAAAATTCTCGGAAATCAAGTCTTATATTCTTGCATAATTTTAGTCAAGTAAATTCTTATTTTAGGAATGTTTAGATATTTAACTGGAAACCAGGACAAAAACACTTTTTTTGTGTGTGTAGTTATTTATGTTCCCAGTCATGTCATCTCTGATGACCTTCTGATCCACAAAAACGATAAACACGCAGGAAATAGTCATGTCATTCGTTTATTTTAGATTCTCTTTTATCTCACTGACGTATGTTTCCTATTGTTTGAAACTTAGATCCATATGCTGATGCTCCAGATGCAGTAAGTTTTACCGTTAAAATTGTTTTAGAATAACTGTTTAAAGTCTTAAGGTTAATGTCAGTACCTTATGACTGCAGCATTTGTATCATTATCACCTATTTTTCATGTCTTCTTATTGCATGTTCTGTTACTGCTTAAAAGTTTGGGGTCAGTACATTTTTATTCTTTATTTTTTTGAAAGAAATTAAAACTTTTATTCAGCAAGGAAGAATGTGTTAAATTGATAACAAAGTGATAGCAAAGATTTATATTGTTAGAAAAGATTTATATTTTGAATAAATGCTGTTCTTTTTAACTTTTTGTTCATCAAAGAATCCTGAAAAACATATCGCAGTTTCCAAAAAATTTATTTGGCAGCACAACTGTTGACAACATTGATAATTCTAATAATAAATCAGAATATTAGAATGATTTCTTAAGGATCATGTTACACTTTATTCTGGAGTAATGGCTGATGGAAATTCGGTGTTGCATCACAGAAATAAATAATATTTTAAAGGATATTAAAATAGAAACCATTATTTTATATTGTAATAACATTTTGCAAGATTACTGTTTTTTTCTGTATTTTTTATCAAATAAATGCAGCCTTGATGA